GTTGCCTCTTTTATTGTTTTGAATAGCCTAGTATTGTTTATTGTTTACCGAAGATTCAATAGCGATATAAAGACAGCAAATGTCATTAAAAATGTCCGTATGTCGAGATCATCTGTGTTAAGATGCCAATAAGGGTTTATTTAGGTGAAAGTTCCTCGCAGTAGTGGCATGTAGGTAAATATCTCCCGAAAGAGTCTTAATCCCGGCTTATCTAAAACAGGAACGATAAACATCACCGCTATCCACCAAATAAGAAATGCCCTTCTTACTCCACCCCAGAGAGCGGTGTGTTTTTTACCACAATACATTATTGAAATAAATAACAAAATAGTCACATACAAGGACCCGAAACAAACGCAGATCAATGTATTGTGTTTGAAACATTTTGCTTTACAAACTTATTAGCTTTTTAATTAAAGTAGATTCGAGAATATTCGTACTTGACCTATGAAATCAAATTATACAAAACACTTAGAATAATAACGCATAGAATGATAGTTTCATATCAAACGAACTGTCACAAGTGAGGCAAAAATCAAATTCGTGTAGGCTAGTTTTAGTAGTAGGTTAATTTTCGGTTTTAGTGAATATTTATATAAAAATACAAGTTGAAACGCGTTAGTTCCTTGTGGTATGTGATGTTAGTATCTATTTTATGTTTTGACGTATTTTTACACTCATTTACAGCACATTTCGTCATTTTTAGCTAAAATTCTGGAGCTGTTCGCGTTGCAAGTTGACCTTGAGCACTGAAGGCCCGCCCGCTCGTGTAGGCCCATTGGGCGCGCTTCAATTTGCCTCACTTAGCGTGTGCGGACTAGGTTTCTATGCGTTATTATTCTAAGACAAAACACTTATTTTTTTAAATACATTATAAACCACTGAGCTTATAGTGAGTCCTGAGTCCGGCGACTACTGAGTCGTCGGACTCAGGTGAAGATGTAGAGTATGTCGACGAGCTCGTTGGATCAAATACGATTTATAGTTTACTGTAGCATATTTTTAGCAGCAGTAGTGCTTGTGAAAGAGTTCGTCCAGGGAAGTACTGCCACCTTACCTATTTCTGCCGCCAAGCAGTTATGTGACCAGTAACACTTTGTTTCTGTTTTGAAGGGTAAGGGTACTGGTGAAATTACAGGCACTTTTGAAATTACTCTTTCTGACTTGTGCGGCCCATCACTTGTTATCATAAACAAAAATGGCAATCAGTAGCTAGTTCACAGGAATAATGCCGTTGATCGTTAACAGCAGATGCTTATTAAGAAAGAACAAATTAAAAAAGAAACGGTCTTTTTGACCTCTGTTAGTTTGTACAAAAAATACGTTAATGGTGGGGATAACATTTATGTGGTGTTAGTTGATTGGTGCAAACTCGAACCTCTCGAACATACACGATGTGCTCTTGACGAGGGTTTTGTTACTGCTTCGAACAGGAGTTAAGATCACAACAGTTCTGTTGCGTTCGCAACTGTCCCACTACCAGGCATGAATCTCCTCTAAGCATTTAGCTATTAGACACCACGCTGATCCAAAACCGTTTAGGGACTTCACACGATTACCAAGACCACGTGAACTGTCTTCGATATGCAAATTTCATCGCAATGTTATCCTTCATTGCTAGCGAGAAGTGTTGCTATTAAACAAAATGTACAGAGCTGCACATCAAGATACACTCTGACGGATCTTGTTCCGTTGCTATAGAGGCGATATTCGAACAAAAGTGTATAGCTTGAAGTGCTGTTGTGGGAGAACGCATAAATAAAAACACATATGAGTTACAAAACAAAAACATATAATTAAAATAATCTGTGATTTGGTTAAGTGGCTCTGATTTACGTCTCATAGTTGTAAAATCATAATAATATATAATTATGAGCATCTTACCAATTTGTTAATCGAACGATAAATCTTACGAAAACCAATTTTGATACATTATAAATTACAATTTGTTTAAGTGGTTGTTCGTATTTTTTGTTGATATTTTTTATACTCAGATGAGTGTAAAATTGTATTTCTTGCTTGTTTAATTTTTTTAATGTTTTAATTATATGTTTTGATTGGGGTATAATTCATTTCAAGAAAATAGAACTACAAACAGGAAAGCTACATTATACGACTCTAAATTAATGTTGTAATAATAATAATATTAATAACGCACACACTCAACATGGCCCCGCACTAGGGAAACCCTGTGTCGCTGGTGCCATGGACACACACATAGACAACCAGAAATTACACCCAAACTCACGAGAGAAATAAATGTAGGCCATACAAATATTTCTCCCGACCCGGGAATCGAACCTGGGACCTCTGCGTGGCAGTCCGGCCGGCATGGTAACCGTTCGGCCACGGAGGCAGTTTAAGTAATGTACAGCCTAAACTGTTAAACTACTAGACAATTACAAAATAAGCGTAACGTAGATATCATAGATATTTTTATACAGACTGTTTAGGTAATACTGATAGGTACATTCGAAAAGAAAACTGATATCTTTTTAGTAAAGTCGTTTGTATTAATAATAATAATAGTTAGCTTATATATAGTCCCACTGCTGAGCACAGGCCTCTCACAATGAGAGGACTTGAGCTGTAGTTTCCACGCGCGCCCAACGTGGATTGGGAATTTTACACACATCATTAAATTGCTTTGCAGATTTGTATAGATTTTCTCATGATGTTGTCCTTCACCGAAAACCTCATGGTAAATTTTTAATTAAATCTCGCAATTTCGTTTCGAATTTCCTTCATTCGAATATAGAGCAATTATAATAGTAACAATCCTCATTTTCTCTATGGAGTTTTACACTTTATACATACATTCTTTTGCAATATATCAATGCAGAGACTGGTGCCTGAACTAGATTGATCCTGGATTTTTAGTCGCCAAGCCTCTACCTCCGTAAGAAATTAATAACACTACTCAACACTACGCAATGTTGCTCAGGCAAAATTTAAAATAAACAATGAATTATTTAAATAATTATGTTAAATTATGCAATAGGAACAGAAATATAAGTGCGTGTGTGCAATTATATTAACAGCCTGTATAATGAGAATGATATTTACGTCAATTTTAACGAGAAACGTGCGTAATATTTGTACTCGGTCACAAGTATAATGCCGAATGACATTGAAGACCAAATTTGACGTAATTTAATGAAACCATTACAATTAGGTTGTTCTAGAATAATCTCGCATGAAAAATTGCGATTACGTAACAGCTGAAGATGATAATATAAGTTTTTGTACATGAACACTTAATTGTAGCTTTTTAAACATTAATTAAATCAATGCGTCCTTACATTGTAATTATTATACTGTCCTTTCTTACTTTATCAAAGAACTTAAGATGGCATATTATTTAATTAGGATTGGAGTTAATCTACTATTGCACAATTTAGCGTTGAAGAGGTAATCGGTGTGAAATTATGTTAGTACATAATTGAAAGCGCATCGCTTATCTTTAAAAAATATACCCGTAATGTTATTATCTCCAATGAAACAAAATACAACGATTGACCTTTTCGAATGTCAGTAATAATAGATCTATTACGTAGTCTCCAAATAAAAAACCGATATTAGATGGACACGTCGGGAATAAACCTATTATCAGTGGTCATGGTAGTGGTGGTTATTTAGAACAATACTCTCGGTACGGGCTTACTTCGTTCAATCCCAAAGATACGTCATACGTCAGAACGAGAATGTTGTAGTTCGCAGAACTCTATTCATAACGATACTTAACACTGTGAAGAGGAATGAAACTGGTTCATTAACTCCATAATTTATTGATCATTTTCATAAACATAAACACGTAATGCTTCGAAATATAAGCCGTTATTAGACTATAACTTCGAATAATGTATAATACTTATGCTTAAATGTTGGCATGGAAGTCTGTGAGGTTCATTTTCATGATCCGTGAAATTAGGTAAAAGTTTGCCTAGTAAAAGTACTTTGATGGCAATAGACATTTAAAATTCCACTACTAAGTAATTTTTGGTACATGTGCAGTTTGGTTTTCTACTTATAATTGGCTTCTTTAGTTGCTACAATCGTGGTAAAATAACTTCTGATTTTGATTTCGGAAAGGTTTTCACGACTCTTCGGAGTTATGTGAAGTTTTGAACCTTTACGTTAGACAAGGCTTTGATCCTCTCTTCATAGGATTCCTGTTTTTAGCAGTGATGACTATGGAAATGAAATTCCCAATTCAAAAACATTTTTACTCGTACATGTAATTCGAATTCGTACTCCGAAGGTTCGTACTCGGAAGGTTGACGATAGTTGAAATTACAATTCGACACCCATTCAAAATAGTTGCTTTTAATAAATCTTTGAAAGATCACCAGCGTGAAAAAAATTTTTTTTTATTTGATCTTGTTTATACAAGATTAAATCTCTCCATATTTATCGAAGCGGAATTGCATTAAGCCGGTCAGAAAGTGTTTTATGTTCATTCAATAAAATCGTCAAAAAGACGTTTTGCGTTTCTCGTCGGCAGTATGACTGTTCATAGAAGCAAAACGCGCAACTTTTTTTTTATAATACTAAATGACGCGAGACCAATAAGTCGAGGACCTGGTGGTAAGCGACACGCCTGCTTATAGCAGTTGCAATGCCACTCAAAGCGTTAAACCACAAAGGTCGGAGGGGCATTGCCACTGCCCGCTAACCCTGAGATGTAAGTTGACAAGTCCCCTGTGCCTGTAATTTCACCAGCACCCTTAACCACATTACTGCTTGGCGGCAGAAATATGTAAGATGGCAGTACCTCTCTGGACGAACTCTTTCACAAGGAGCTCTACTGCTGCTGTCTTTAATATAGCCTACTTATACTAATAAAGCTACTAAATCGTTTCTACTAAGCCTTTTTCGCTCTTACTGCATAGACATAATATTTTTTCTGACCGGCTCAAGCCGCTTTAATAGTGTGTTTCTCCCTTAATCGTACAAATGAATAGAGTATAACTTTAACGTGTTTTTTTTGTTTGTTTCAGGTTATTTATTATTTAAGGAATTCTGTGAACAGACGTCAGAGGAGCCTGTGCCACAATTAAAATTTTATGAAGAGGTAAACATTGTACATTTCTAATGCAATATACATTCAATGCTGACAATTTCAAAGTTAATTATAATTATGGTAAATACAAATAAATTAATCTACGTATCGAGTTCTTAGGTTTTCTTAATCTACATGATTTAATATAATAATTATTCACATATTCAAAATTAAAATCAATTTTACAGATTTTTTTGTTTTTGATGTATTTTGTCGTTAAATTCATTTTGCCATGTCGTCATAGTCAAAAAGATGTGTCCTTATGCATAGTCACACGATCTGCACCACTATTATAATACACTATGGCTGCAGGAATGCAGTTTATGTGCAGTCGGCACGCCAGCTGTAACAAGTAATTTCCGTAAATTTTTTTATCTACTACTTCGTAATAGATTTACCAGAATTGACTATTAATTGGGCAAAATGGTTTGTTATTTCCATAAATTTTTAATCGTACCTGTGAAGTGTTGAGTTCGTATGTAATGTGGGGAATGTTAATTATCTCCAACTGCCTTTCGTTACATCGCTGCCTTTATACAATAAAGCAGTATTGCAGAATACTGCGATTTTGAACTAAGCATACAGCTACGAACAGTTCAAGATATAACGACATAGTTCAAAATCGTAGTATTTTAAATAGGAAAGCATCGTGACACTCAGACATATCAACTAAACTAACGAATAGATCACGAATAGACAGAATTATTCGACATGTTTCGAACCAGTCTACAATAAGCTAGTGATATATTGCATAAGATAAATAATACGCATTATTATTGAAATGTCAAATTTATTTAGCATTTACAGTGGAAAAAACAGCTCGCGAGACTATAATATGCTAAGAATTGTTTGCAAAATTGTCTCTCAATAACATTTAAATAAATATTTCTAATGAATGTACTCATAATATTCATCAGAAGTGAGTCATGAAAATCCGTTTTCCTACCAATCAGTAACATCGTCCTCAGTTGGTAGGATGCTTATCATGTCATGGGCAGCCAATCAAAGTAGGCCCGCATGACGTGATATTATAAGCGCCTTTAATGTAGGCGTTATCAAAAAATGTGATAAACCTCTTTGAATTGTAAAGAACAACCAATAAAACTTTGTGAACAATTATAGAAATGTTTTTGTTTTCCACAGATAAAATTATTCGAAAAACAGGAATGCGTAGAAGAGAGACGGCGGATAGCGAGAGATATTTATGACAATTTTATTATGAAGGAACTATTAGCACATTCACATGTAAGTATATGTTTTTTTTAGTAATAAAAATATTCTATTTTCCCTAAAATCTGAAACCCACTTTGATTTTTCCTAAAATTATTATCCAACGTCAAGCTGATTCATAATGGATTTTCATTTAATCCACATTTATTTGCTACTGTATTATATTAGCGTATCCGATACGTGTGTCAAATTCGTCAGACGATAAGATTATAGCACGTTCGCAGCGCTAAAAATAGAGTTACATGACTTAAATTCAAAATATAAGAACGTTATATAAAAAAAAAATTATTTCGTTAAAAAAATATTTCGTCAAAACAGTTACTGCGTTTCGAGACCACCACTTCTTCCGGCTTTGAAATTTCTCAGTCTTGTGCCATGCGCATACAACCATTGCCGGCCACTTTCATCAGGTCGATCGACCATCTTGCCGCTGGGCGTTACGTTTGCATAGACGTGGTCGCTACTCTAGATCAGGTCTGCTCCTTCGGCCATGACCGCAGACATGACCGGCTCACTATCACTTCAGCTTTTACAAGCTATGACGGTTACTTTAGTTTTCTGACATTTTTTCGTACGATTTCAGTCTATAAAAGAAACCCCAAGCATTGCTCGTTCCATCGCACCGTGGATCTCTCAAAATTACGTTTTATAAAAAAAAATACTTTTTCTGTTCACAAGTCAATTTTATTATGTGCATAACCCAGGAACGGTACTCTCTGCCTGCGACTGTGTTTCCGAACTCATACAACCCGGGTATCTTTAAGGTGCGATTGAGTATGCATCTTCTGGGAGAGCTCGGACCATCGTTGATCTTATCTTTGCTCCAGAGCTAGGTAGTGGTCAAGAGCAAGTCCATTTAATAAAAAAAAATAGACAAGATAAATTACTATCGGAATTGGATGACCTGAAAGAGAAGTCATAGATATAACGATACATAGACCAAAGATATATCCTATGGACATAGTAAAAATAGACACTAAAACCTCGCCATAATAGTTCGTTTTTACCGTTCATGCACGACGTAAAGCATTGACATACCGATGCCTTTACTCTCTCAATCAAACTCGTATTTTATAAAGAGTGATTATTCAGGAGATGGCAAAACTTTCTATTCATATTAAATTTCATATCAGGGATGTTAATTTGGATGCATTACTTTAAGAATAGGTAAAACCCAGTGTGCGAATATGAAGTACATGTGATGTGAAATCAGCCTTCAAAATTTGTATATACAATCCATTTTTTGCATTTCAGTAACTTTGTGCTAATTGTCATGAGGTACGCTTATAAAAGTGCCTACAAAAGCTAAAGATGCCATAATCCACTTAAATATGGCCGATTGCAGTTCACAATAAACTTAATATTTTATGTAATGTTAATAACTTAAATCGTGTTTAATATAAATTTTAAAAGGAAATCCTCTGTAATGTTTGCGGTTTTTGTTTGGAAGTTCTAACAACATACCTATAAGTTTTAAATCGCTATCAGCTAACTACATATTTGCAAGCTCCGCTGTGGCCTTTATTCCTAGAATTATTTCAGCTTTGATCCAGTTCGACGACGTATTTCTCCTAGTTTACTACACCGCAAACCAAATTACAGAACTGGGAGTTTGTTTTAAAACGAGAGTAGATGAAAATATGTAACCAATTTTACGACGAATATGTATTCTTTTATATAAAGAAATATTAAATTTGTAAACTTTAAATTCTTTGTGAATACGTATATTGATCTTTAATTCTTTTTCATTTCCTGTAGAAGTCGTAAAAATAATAGTTTTCTCTTTATACGATCTCATTCCAAATTTACAGGCTCGTGAAATCGGTTGCGAGTTGCTCCCACAGAATTAGCCATCTCTTCTGCCTTCCACTTAGCCGTAGCAAACGTTAAGACTATAAACTGCGTCAGTTGCTTGAGTTCACTTTTCGGTTCTATAAATCTTAAGTGCAATTGAATAAAAGCTATACTACGGGTATTTTCCGTTGAGTCCTTGGGCTTGTGTACCGGTGGTAGTAATCGGAGAGTTTCTTATTCGTCATTCGTCGTTAGTACTATATACTGAAATAAATAAAAACTGTTCTAGAACCAGTTGTAAAATTCCGGGTAACAGAACCGACGCCAAATACCATGGAACGCATTGCGCATTTCGCTCTGTTTCTATCAAGATTTAAGACGAAAACAATTGAAGACGTTTCAAATTGTTTGTTGTAGTCACAAAGCATCCCGTATCCCCCGTATCTGTACAAGTAAATCAATGACCATGAACGTTGCACCCGACCGAGACTCGTTTGTGTAAGTAACGAGCACTCGTTAGCGGACACTTGGCACCAAACCCAGTAACTTGAACCTCCAATCACGAAGCCTCTCTAAACTCGACTCGCGAAACTGTCAGTTGTAATAAAACCCATTTCACATTAGCTACTCGCACTTGCAAAGCAAATGCTGGTTAGATTAATGTTACTTCAACATTTATGTTGTTATACGTCTACATCAATAACAATTTATTCATTACCGAGATTATCATATAAACTCATCAATTACTTTATGGCCTACTTACAGTCTCTTGCAACTTTGCTCGCGCGGTAAAATACTTTATATGCTAATTCATAACTATATCGTCACAAGTATAATGAAGTGGGAATATCAATAGTAATGCTACTTTGTATTGGATTGCTATGATTCTCTTATCTTTTACTCACACGGAGGAAAATACAATCGCCTACATGTAATTTATTTCGTGGCAATCGCCGCCCTATAAAAGGCAGACGTTCAATCCCTTTACGGCCGCGATGTCTGATGCGGGAATCTTGTCAAATAAGATTGCTTGGGCACTAGTTCATGAAGATTGGTAGGCAATAGTGGTTATTATACGCACGCTTCTGATTTTGTATGTTGTCTACAAATACTCGTATCTGTAGAAGTGTGGCATATGTACACACGCCAGTACATCAAGGTACATATTGACGTATCTTGTTCCGTTGCAATGGAGGCGATTTTCGAACAAAAATGTGTAGTCTGAGGTGCCGTTGTCCGTACATACACGCGACACTTTACTTTTTGTTTTCTAATAGACGTTATGCCGTGTTCTAATGCCATTTGAAAATTTTAAACATCTTATTTTGCAGACGTTGTTCCAACTTAATATGTCACATTGCTCACGACTCGCAATCATAGAGTACCATTTCACGATTGCGATGTTTGCAATATGCGCGCAGTCGAATTCGGATCATTCGAATGCTACGAGTAGCTCACACTCGATAAGGTATCACACCGTCTCTAATACGACATAAAAGGCGAAGATTTCGTCAAATCCTTTCACAGATGTTTGCACGCCACTTCACCTTTTTATAAAAATAAATTCGGTTACGACAATGAACGTAACAACAACTAGGTTATTTTTGTTCAAAGATTCCAATTTGGGAAAAATGCTTTTTTAAATTATTCCTAGTGCAACAATCAGCGTTAACTTAAATTTCAGGTGTACTAGGAAACTGTAGATAGCGAGAGGTACAATTGAGATACAGACGTTGAGGAAAACTTAGATCCTTACATCAAGTGACGTTAATAGTCGACCACTTTTTTATTAACGTCCTGCTTTTTAATTGACCCATAAGCACTTAGTTCTCTAGTCTATAAGGAAAACAATTGTGGGCAAGAATCCTTGGAACCCGTGAACTTTACACGTCATTGTAAGCGTTTTCTTTAAAGATCTTTGAGAACCATTTCACGGCTCTACCTTGATGCTATCGACTTAAAACTCTGTTATTTGATATGACCTTCTGGTCGGACAGTTTAAAAATTTTTTTGTTAAAATTGCAGATGTCAATCGTATTTTCTGATTGGCTTCAATCGTGGGAATGTGAATGTTAAGCAATATTTATTTTAATATCATCGCAAAGTTATAACCACAATATTCTCCTCATTGTTTTTTTTAAGATAAAGTCTTGTTTTCCTTTTTACGAGGTTACTGTTACGGTTAGCTCAACAACATGACATGTTTTGGGTATCCCAATAAATCGAAAGCCTTAGGTAAAATAAAACCTTAAACACTCTATTCTTTGTTCTAGGACTACTCTAAAGAATGTGTAGCACATGTACAAAAATATTTAATGAAGCACGAAGTACCACCGAATCTATTTGAGGTATTAATATTTCCTTAACATTAACTTAGTTCTTACTTTAGGGGAGTCCTTTAATACATCAACTAAATTCATATTCATATTTCAGCCCTACATTGAAGAAATTTTCCAACATCTACGAGGGGAACCGTTTAAAAATTTCTTAGAAAGGTAACGTTTCTTACAAAGTTTACTTCTTAATTTTTCAAGGAAAGTGGAGGCAGGATATAACTTGAGATACGACAGCAGGAAAGTCTTGTGTTATATTATGTCACGACAAGCTTGATGTCTCTATGAGCTTTACTTTACACCGGGTTCGATTAACTGTAAAATGGAACAGGCAGAAATGAAATAGCAAAGTTGGTCTGGCACATGTGAAATTACTTATAAAAAAGAAATAAAGGTTAAGTTTGTTGCTTTTCGGCAACAATGCTCATCGTGACGGTAGAAGAAATTAGTAGAGTCCAAAATCTAGTCAGCCTTTACATAGATTTTTTACATCAACACCTCGTACTCAAAAATGAAGGAATTAATAAAAACACGATTTGAAAAATGAAATAAAATAAAGCTGACTGAATCTTATTGATGAGAATATTTTCATTTATACATGTTAATTAGTTATCCACTTATAAACGAGAATATAAATTTGATAATTTTTGTATAATAAATTGTACAGTTTAACGAGATAGACATACTAAACAACATGATTTTGGCAACTGATGAGATGTTTTGTATTACCTCTACGATTTACATTAATTTAGAAATAACTTGAGTACATTTATTGCAGTGATAAATACACGAGGTTTTGCCAATGGAAGAACTTAGAATTAAACATACAGCTTACAATGAACGATTTTAGTGTGCATCGGATCATCGGTCGAGGCGGCTTTGGCGAGGTATGTTAACGCTTAGATATTATTGTTATTTCGTTGGTTTGACGAATAAAACAAAGTATTATAAACAAATATAGACAACATCAGATAATAATGTTGCTCTGATTCCTAAGTAACTAACTAAAGCACTTGTGTTATGGAAATCGGAAACAACGACAGTACCACAAACTCTATCACAGAGGTCGTCAAAAATTATTTTTACTGTTGCTTTAAATCAGGGTTTCTTAACCTGTGGTTCATGAATCTCTAAGGAGTCCGTGTAATGAACACCAGGGGTCCGTGGCGAGCTACCTAACATAATGAAACAGCAACCGTCACACCTAGGGTCGTATTCCAGAACTGTACTCAATGCTCAAGTCAGGATCTGAGTATGATTTCAAGCACTAGAAATACGACCCTAATGGTAGGGACTTGAGTATGATTTCGAGTGCTTTAAACCATACTCAAATCCTGACTTGAGCATTGAGTAAAGTTCTAGAATACGACTCTAAATATTCATATGTGATTAAGCAAAGTTCATTCGCAAACAATATAAGCTAGGAAAAGCTAAACCTAAATTTTTATTTTTTCGAAAAGGGCTCTTTTACATTTTGAGAGACCTCCATGACTAGAAAAAGGTTCAGTAGCCCTGCTTTGAATGTTAAATAAAATTATTTTTCTTTTTTTATAGTTATTATTATTTTTTTATAATTATTTTTTCATATTTGGTATAGCGTCTGGCACGGTAAGCTAGAAGACGTCGGTTCGAATCCGGCCGAATCGAAGGCATTTTTTCCGAGTGTTCGATCTTTGTATTAATAATTATAACAAACTAGTGGAGTAATTTCACAAAAAATAATGGAAAATATCAACTTGCAATTATGTCTTACTTGCAAGTCGAAGAAGGTTCACAATACTCGGAAAACGTGTGATGTGCCCAACCCGCATTGAGTAGCGTGGCGGCCTATGGACTAAACCTAAACCTCGTCTGAGAGGAGACCCAGCAGCCTCATATCTCTCTACATTAGTTTTGATTTAGTGACCATCTCTACCGACCCTTAGGGTATACGCGCAGGGACCATCAAAGTCAGGTCCTAACCCCAGATCAGCCCGTTTGCACGGACTTCATCCGGTTCTCTGTAAGGCCTTAGGTGAGCCGCCCCGGGTGCACATACAGCACTCTCCCTATTTGTCAGATAGGTACCGGAGCTGTAGACACGCCCACTTCCCGTCGCGCTAACGGTTGCCACCACTGAGTTGTGGACTCTAAACCGACTACCAAATCTCCTCTTTGATGGCGGAGCTGTAAGGCACGCCCACTTCTCGACGCCGAACGGTGTCTCTGTAGTTCTCAAATTCTTACCGACTGGAGGGACCGGAGGATGTCTAGCTCATCCTCTACTAGACGCCGATAGCAATGTCCTGCAATAATGTCCGGACATAGCTAACGACTTAAAGGGCAAATCACGTGTCCCGCGTGTCTCCTCGCCATTAGGCCCTCGTCTAGACCGCTACTAAGACGACTCGGCCACAGACTACCGGGGTGTTCATCCCTGCAGCTAACCACAAACCCCGGCGAGTCCATACCCTAGTCCGGGTCCGCCAGAAACGCCCGTGAAGGCGTATCACTAGCGGAGGGCTCGGCCCGGACGCCCGCCGTACTTACTACCGTCTTACCGGGGAGCCTGTAACTAACTCCTTATCTCTCGGGTCGGTAGATAGGGACAACCCAGCATCGGGACGTACAAATGGGTTGATAATGATACACATACTTAAACAATGTCAATCAACGCTTTTGTCGCGTCATTAAAAAACATTTCGCCGGTTACGCATTTTCGCAAATCACTTTTTATATTGATTTCTTTTTTTGGAAATTTCTTTTTAAATTTTTATTTATTTTATGTCAGGTTTACGGGTGTCGGAAAGCGGACACAGGGAAGATGTACGCGATGAAGTGTCTCGATAAGAAACGTATCAAGATGAAGCAAGGCGAGACACTCGCTCTCAATGAGAGGATTATGCTCTCTCTAGTCAGTACTGGGGTAAGTGCATCTTATTTTAAAACAAATGACGGATATGATAATGAAGCTTTTTAAAGAAATGCTAAGTCGCAAACACATATACAGACGATTTTGAGATCTTAACAAGTCGACTGGACTGTTCTCTACAATGATATTGATTAATTTCCTTTGATAAGTGTGTAAAAAAGGTGGAAAAAATCAGTGGAACGTAAAGGGGAAGTAAGCAAATGCTTATTATTTTACTTAAAGGAAACATTCTTTTATATTTCTTAATATGAACAACTGTATTCTCAGAATTTTTTAAAAGCTTGCCTGAACCGTAATAATAACATTTTACATCTGACTTTACTATCTTAAGTCTGAGCTATTTCAAGCATTTAAGGTACTTCCCATTCATGTCCCATTGATTTTTTCCGCCCTGTATTTGTTTTTATTACGTACGTTACAGAAGATATAATACTTTTGTAACACAAATTAAAACCAGTTATAACAAGTTACATAACCAGTAATAGAGAAAGGCAGCCTATTTCGATTTTTTTTTGAAGGTTAAATTGTTAATAACTCGTGGTAGGAAGCCAGAGAAACTTGAACTTTGGGATTGGTCATGCGTAACAATTGCTTGGATTGTATTTCTTGGTCAACCGAAGGTTTCAGTCCCAGTTACAAACTCTTGAAACAAAAGTTTTGAACGTTAAAAAAACACGGAACTCCAAACACTTACAAATAATTTTAAAAAATCTTGTCCTACAAAGGCGGTACAGTAAATAAAAGAATGTTAAAACTCGTTGATTATTTAAACTCGAAAAGCTTTTGAAAGAAATAACTTCATATATCCCACCGCGAAGCTGGGAAGTATTTAAAAATACGTGACCCAGGTCAAATAGGGCACCGCGCTTTGTTTATCGTATAGATCTGGAACACCTGCTACAGCCGACGTTATCGCTTTTTTAATTGTCCTTAGATTAATTTAATTAATATCGGGATTATGCAATTTAAAAGGTGGTATATAACATAAGAGTGTGCGTGGTAATGCATCGGAATGAAAGAATGCATTATTGTTATTACACAATTTTGTCAATAACAAATAATGTCAACAAAATAAACAAAAATAACATAGTTTCGGACAAATGGCGCTAAATAAAGCGTAACTACTGTTCTGAGCGTATTACTTCTCTTTACGAATGATTCTTTATTGAAGAAAGGGACGTGGATTCCCCGCTTTACCATTACGCTGCGTGGGCCATTAAGCTACAAATAATAAACACTAATAACACTGGCGTAAATTATTTTTGCCAACAAGAAACAGCGGTAAAGTGGAAAACCAATGGTTTGCAATGAATATATATGACACAACTCCGGAGTCAAAATACAGGAGAAATTTCGCTCTTGAGCAGCGCAGCCCGAATTGTAGCGTACAAAATAGGTTAAGGAATACGCGGTAGTGCGCAAACTCCGCGAGTAAAGGGTGTTGTAACCGTGATGTATATCTATGCTTATGATGAGCTACTCCAAATGTATTTCGTAAGCCTCGGTACGCTCTGCTCTGTGCGGACTAACTTTATTTTTGCTTCACGACGTGTCAGCAACGTTCAACATTCATTGTAATGAATTCGTGCAGAAAAGAGATAACTTCATCGCAATTTATTTCACGCCTTACGCCGGTTGTAATCGTACACACTTCATAAAACGGGGTGATTTATCTGAACAGTAAATAGCTCTTACATACATTTACCGTGCCGCTTTTCAGTTACTCACGCATCTTGTAATTAATTGGCGACCTGAAGCCATTGTTCCCTATAATGTAGGCATATTAATTGGTATATCACAGATAACTTATGTGTGATGTATTGTGACTTATTATTTTTGTACTGACTGCATATTATGACCAAAATATATATTAGATTTGTGTATTTCAAGTTTACGGCTATCTTAATTAGGATACAGAATATTTGATTGCGTAAGAATTGTTATCATAAATAAAATGAGCACATTTACGTTTTATTGATACTACATCAGATACTAAATCAAATGGGCTATCTGATCGCTTATCGATTGCAGGCTGCTTTGATTCCACAATGCGGTTATCCCGTGATATGTGTATAAGCAGTGAGCGATATGGCATCGGGGACATAAACGGTATCCAGCCAATTGGACTGAAACAAATTGGTTCGCCCTCAATTTGCCGTTGTACTATAACCCGCTTCCGCTGCATTTTGTTTTACCGCTCGAATGGAATTTTCATTTTGGACTATTGCAGACACTGTCGGGGGATTGAAGCCCGGAAGTAATAATGTATCGGTTATACGATTTTATTTTCCGTGACCCATAAAGGACGATACTCAAGGCCAGTGGAATCCGCAAGTTTATGAAACAAGAAACTGTCAGTCAGTTACGTTTTGTGTGGTAGATGTCCAAGTTTGTTTCATGAATTTTTGTATCCTTGTTTTCAAAACTTTATGCTGCGTAGTAATAAACGTTTTTATTTTGTGTTTACGGTTAAGCAAACTCGGGTTTATAGGAACGACTCGATGGTTTATTATTATTGCTTATAGATGGCCGGCCATCTGATTTTATTGGCGAGTGAGATTTCTACGTAGTTGTTACTCAATTTATCCTGATATGACAATACGGCAATAGGCAACAGTTATTGTAATACTTAAGACTTTCGTTGATTGTTCTAAAGCTGTAAAATATAGATTTGTTCATACTCAATGCACATTTATATCGAATGTTTTAGGCGAACACGCAGATGATTACAATTTACGAGCATACTTTTATACATTCCTATCTATGTTCTTTTTACGGCGTCTCTATATGTTTAGCATAGTTTTCATATTCTCGTATTGTGGTTATATGATTAGATATAATATGGGGTTCAATAATAAGTTTAAATTACAATGATGCAGTAGACCGTTTGACGATCGTCATCCGACGGCGCCGATTTGTCTGTGCCTTGCGGTTGCTAGGATTGCAACTTATCTCTACCAAGCACAACTTCCACACGCTGCATCCAAACGCTACCGAACATTCTGAACTTTATGGATAATAAAATTCAACTGCGGAAGATTGACCTCTGTGTCATTTGAAATAAAACTATAGTCGTAAATAAGTTGTGTGAAAAGTTTATTATTTTTCCGACTCAAAACTCCCAAGCTATTAAACCAATTTTCCCAGAAACGTCTCTTCTTGCGTCATTGTTGTACAAACCTTCAATTTTGTTTATAAAGCCGTGTCGCATTGACGTAAAACTATCACGATCCATTACGATTATAATTGTTATGTAATGAATTATAAGTGGTCGCCATTACAACCGTTTCCACGCCGCGACACGAGTGGCAAGTAAACAAAGGGAATGCGTCCATTGCATTGCGCAGTTGAATATTTCCGTTTGCCATAATACATCGTTAGCGCACGCCGACTTATTGCATTTAGTGCTATTTCGCTCAAGGCTCGTGCTATATTTGACATTTTGTGTGGCATATGCGACTGTGAGCCAAATTTCGGTGTACATTTCTATTCCAGTTCCAATACATATGTTGAATGTGTTCTGGAAATACGTCAATTAATTCATCAGGTAGATATTTAAAGCTTATGTTGTGTTAAATCATCTCTATAACAGAAATGGCAACATTTTCAAAGGTCAGATGGGTTGAGTGGAACGTACTTGATTTTGATTTAAATGTTTTGAAGAAATTCTCTCGGAAGAACAGATAAAGTCTTATAAGAATTATGAAATACACTAAACTTGCCTTTGTTTATAAGCTTTACATGTTTTAAAAATAATTACGCTAAATTCGATACTTACGATATTTATGCCGAAATCGTGCGAATTGTGCTAACGTTTCCGTTCCCCCAAAAGATGGGGATAGAGAAACAGTCCTTGTATTTCTTATAAAGGTAATGTATACCTCGTGTTCTCAAGATTTCACAACCAAGAAATTTGTTTTTTTCGCCTTTTGTATTTGAAACATCGTAGCGACATCTCTTTAAAATCGTTAAAACTAATTTATTTGGCTGGTTTATCGACTGGGAGACTATAGTGCTAAACTCTTTTAGATTATGAGTTAAGGCTTCAAGTCCCTTATCCCTCGGTGTTCCTCTTATCCCACCTGACCACGAAAACGAACTTTTCTAGAATATTAACCAAGGAATTAAATTATACTTATTTGCCTATCCTTGTCTTAATTTGATCTTTTTACTATTTTCTACGTGTATTCTACACATACAAACATAACATAAGCCACACTACTGTTCGTGATCTAAAATACGGCAACTCTACTTTTTCTGCAAAGAAATGTTCCACATACCAGATTAAGTTTTAAAATAAAATTTACTTTGTATGTATGACGAGGAAGATACAAGTGAACTCTGGAAACGAATATGCAAATAATAAACAAGAATTATAACTATACAACCCTGTAATGGAAGTTGTCCATTTACGTCCCGCTCCGTGTATAATAATAAAGTTTTAATTAATTTGTTGCAGGTCGACTGCCCTTTCATCGTATGTATGACGTACGCGTTCCATACGCCCGACAAACTCTGCTTTATTCTGGACCTTATGAATGGCGGAGACTTGCACTACCACCTTTCGCAGCACGGCGTCTTTAATGAAGCGGAGATGAAGTTTTACGCTGCTGAAGTTATTCTTGGTAAGTTTCTTTGTCTAGACGCAATCCTAATCCTGTGCCGGAACATAGCTATAACCGGACCCTAGTCAGAATTATATAATGTTAAAAAATTACATTTTGTGCGAACTTGAATCTATGAAAGATTGAGTCGAATATTTTATGCACATTCTTCCAACTTTATGAGTACAATCCTGAGAGCGCACGCCACACAAATAAAAAAAGTTATATCTATTTTCGATATTAACTCAAAAGTTTCAATTTTACACGGTGAGCTCGTCTTAATTTTGGATAAAAAGGGCTCGATTTTATCCAATTTTTTAGAAACCATAAAACATGTTCTATGCATTTCAAATACTATAATAACTATAATAATTTTAGTAGCCGCCAAGCAGTCATATCAGCATTACTGTGTTCTGGTTTTGAAGGGTAAGGGTGCTGGTGAAATTATAGACACATGAAACTTGTCAACTTGTCGTCCATACACTTCGACTCCCACCGGTTTGCCTAAAATTTTCCACGTATTACCAAAAGACTACTAGACAGCGCGCATACCCCACCACTTTCACTTTAAAAAACTTATGTTCAATATTAATCGTGTAGTAAGTCCTTGATAATACAGAGTCCTGTAGCTTCACGATGGATCTCAGCCAATACAGCGCGAATCAAGCCGTCCTTAGTGTAACTTTTTAGCGGGAAAAGTACGTAGTTTTTGTTAAAGTACTTCGTTGTATTTTGTCGCGCTCCGGCTTTACTAACGACAATTATCACGCCTCGCCACTGATACGTAGCATAAAGCATAAACTGGTTATTGCTAACATTGGCTATGTCATGTTAGCCGAACCATAAACTCGATACAACCCGACGCAATAGTCAGGAGGCAATGAACGTTCCACATACACAACATCGTACAGAGCTGAACAAGTCAAATATATCGATACCTCACATGTAAGTTGTTGTAAGTCAAAATGCCGTTTTTTACTTTTAACCATTGACTTACAAATCAATTTGTAGCTTTCACATGCAAACAATGCATAATAATACAAATAGTACAACCTTGATGGCCTAACGGTTTGCACTGTTGGCACTGGATGAGAAGTTCCCGGGTTCGATACCGGTAGGATCAATTTAACAAATTAACTTTTCTAAATGGTTCTGGTCTTGGTATTCTATTGTAAGACAATCACCTGGTTTGAAACTAGGGAACTCTCTGTACATACTCCTCATAAGTATCAGAGCAACAGAATCCGTTCAAAAAAGTTCATTTCCCAAATTGGTTCTACTGGAAATCGAACCTGGGACCACGAACGATTGAATTTATTCCGGGGCATAACTCAGAACACCCAGGCCAAAACAACTTTCGAAAAGTTCACATTTAGTTTTATAGTTGATTGAGCTGATTTTTTACGGTTTTTT